AGTGAGAAATAGGGCGGATTGGTTTTGCACACCACCTTTTCGAATATTGCACCACAGTTCAAATCGCTCTACCCATTCCTCGATCTTGGATGGACTGGCTTGCAGGTTCAACTGTTCAAAACTTGAAAGCTCCATTGCGTGATGCCAATTTGTAATAGTAATGGAGGTAGTAGTAGTGAAGTTACGCACAGAATTTAGGACACGAACTACGCAATAGGAATCACGGNACTGGACCGCAATGGCTCGAACTCGCAATAACCCGCAGGATCGAGACGCGAAGAAAAAGGCCACCAGACAGGCGAATCACAAAGTCGTTTATTGAAGGAAATGAAAGTGAATATATATGTACATAAGAAAAGATCATTGGCTACCTTAGTTTCCACCAATCATATTGCATCACATCTTGCGTCATACTGCTCTTCTCTGCATTGTATTTGATTGGCTGGAACGGTCCACCAATGCCGTGTATCCGGAGGCTGTGCACGTGCTACTGGCGTCATTGCTCAAGGTCGATCGACTACCAATGTCTGGAAACTGTACCGCGCTGCTCCAGGGCAGGCGTGATCTCGCAGATCCGAATCACCGTAGAAAGTCATATAGGGAGAGGTGAGAATTCCCGATGCTTTTCTCCATGGAGAGGAGACGCCTGAGAGGCGACATTATTGAGGCCTTCAAAATAATGAAGGGGCTGACTGGGCTGGAGGCGGACAGCCTGTTTACCCGAGCACCGCTCGAGTCAACAAAGGGGCGTCATCTGGAGCTAATCAAGCCCAGAAGCCGACTCATTCTTAGACAAAGCTTCTTCATAAGTAGAGTGATAGATGAGTGCAAACAACTATGAACCTCACTACTAGATTGTAGGACAGTCGAGGATTTCAAAAGGCAATTAGATGGGGTCTAGATCAGCCTCTATCCTGAGATTTGGTAGAGTGCCTACTATTGAGAGTAGCTGTTCCATGCCACATATCCTCGAATAACCTCCAGTTTCAAATACGGACCCCTTCCCCTCCCCTCTTTCCTTCCAGATTCTTCCTTTCCGTTACCTGCATCCCCATCACAATTATCCTCAGTAACGAGCAGTGCTCTCAAATTCTCGTCAGCGGGCACTGCCTACCAACCGAAAAACGACAAACCAAGTTCCGCGAGCATTGGGCTTAGCCTCGAACCCGTGAAATACTTCAAGACTTCAAGACTGTGGTCAAACGGTCGACAAGAAGTCAAAGCTCGGGAAGAACGTGGTTCCGGCTGGAGCAAGAATCTAAACGCTCGGTTTGCGAAAGCCTTTACCTTCCTGTGCCACGTGACCTGACCTGATTAGTGGTTGAGGATGTGTTTGCTAACTCAACGAACGCCCAAGGTCAGGTGTGCACACAAAAGGGCACACAGGGACCGAAGTGTAAACAACTGAG